TTAAATCAGTATTTTTCTGTACTGCTAGTGAGATGAGCACCTTTTTGTATTTTGAAATAATGAACTGTTATTCCCTTTAACTATTTTTTTTTTTTTTTTAGTATTTCTCCTTATTGATTGTATCTCCCTCCATTGTGTCTACCTGGCCAATTCGTACCAGACCTTCTAGACTTGGGCCACATGCCACTTCTTCCAAAAAGTCTTCTAATTCTCTGGCCTCTCCATACATCGCTCCCCCCAAATTAAGCCCCCTATTCTACACTCAGTGCTAACCTTTGAGCATGTTTATCTTCTCCACAAAACCAGGAGACTTTGGTCTGTTATCTCTATTTCCCCAGCTCAAAACAGTGTGCCCAGTATAGTACAGGTGCATAATAAAAGAATAAATGAATGAGCAAATGATCCCACAAATAGGATTACTTTTAGGCTTATTTCCTTTTCCCTATTCCTTGAGAAAACCACACAGAAATGGCCTGTTTTGTTTGTTTTTTTGAAACACAGTCTCCCTCTGTCACCCAGGTTCAAGTGAGTGGGCATCATCATAAGCTCACAGCACCTCAAACTCCTGGGCTCAAGCAATTCTCCTCAGTCTTCCAAGTAGCTGGGACTACAAGTATGTGCCACCAGACCCAGATAATTTTTTAGAAAATTTTTTGTAGAGACCAGACATAGTGGCTCATGCCTGTAATCCTAGCACTTTGGGAGACTGATGCGGGCGGATTGCTTGAGGTCAGGAATTCGAGACCAGCCTGAGCAAGAGTGACCCGTCTCTACTAAAAATAGAAAGAAGTAGACAACTATATATAGAAAAAATTAGCTGGGCATGGTGGCACATGCCTGTAGTCCCAGCTACTGGAAAGGCTGAAGCAGTTGGATCACTTAAGTCTAGGAGTTTGAGGTTGCTATTGAGCTGGCTTGACCACCACAGCTTTCTAGCCTGGGGAAACAGAGTAGACTCTGTCAGAAAAGAAAAGAAAAGAAAAGAAAGAAAAGAAAGAAGAAAGGAAAGAAGGAAAGAAGAAAAAAGGAAAAAAAAGGAAAGAAAGAAAGAAAGGAAGAAAGAAAAGAAGGAAAAGAAAGGAAAAAGAAAAGGAAAAAAAAAGAAAAGAAAAGAAAAAGAAAAGAAGAAAGGAAATGAAAAGAAAAGAAGGAAAAAGAAGGAAGAAGGAAAAGAAAGAAAGAAAAGGAAAAAGAAAGAAAAAGAAAAGAAAGGAAGAAAGAAGGAAGGAAGAAGAAGGAAGAAGAAGAAGTAAGAAGTAAAGAAGAAGGAAGGAGGAAGGAAAGAAGAAAAGAAAGAAGAAAGAAAGAGAAGAAAGTGAAAGAAAAGAAGACAAGAAGAAAGAAAGAAAGAAAAATTTTTGGTGGAGAAGGGTTCTTGCTATGTTGCCCAAGCTAGTCTCCAACTCCTGACCTCAAGCAATCCTCCCACAGTGCTGGCATTATAGGTATGAGCACTACACCTAGCCATGTTTTGTTCTTTTTTTTTTTTTTTGAGACAGAGTCTCGCTTTGTTGCCCAGGCTAAGTGTGCGTGGCGTCAGGCTGGCTACAGCAACCTCAAATCTCTGTCAGCGATCCTCTGCCTCGCCTTCCCGGAGTAGCTGGGACTACAGAGCATGCGCCACCATGCGGGTAATTTTTCTGGTATATATTATATTTTAGTTGGGTCATTAATTTCTTCCTATTTTGGTAGAGACGGGGTCTCGCTCAGGCTGGTTTCGAACTCCTGACCTTGAGCGATCTGCCCGCCTCGGCCTCCCAAAGTGCTAGGATTACAGGTGTGAGCCACCACAACCGGCCATACTTCAAGGTTTTTTTTGGTTTTTGTTTTTTGTTTTTTTTTTTTTTTTTTTGAGACAGAGTCTCACTTGGTTGTCCAGGCTAGAGTGAGATGCACGTGGGTCAGCTGTAGCTCACAAGCAACCTCAACTCCTGGCTGAATGATCCTTCTGCCTCAAAGCCTCCCGAGTAGCTGACACGGCATGTGCCACTATGCCGGCTAATTTTTTATTATATATATATCAGTTGGCCAATTAATTCTCTTTCTGTTTATAGCTAGAGACGGGGTCTCACTCTTGCTCAGCTGTTTTGACTCGCTGACTTGAGCAATCCGCCGCCTCAAGCCTCCCAAGAGCTTAGGATGGTGAGCCCACGCCCGGCCTGGGCCTTATACTTCAAGTTTTTAAAAATTTATTTAACACAACTATTCATTTTGCTTTTAATCTAAATAAGGTCTTTCATTTGTCACAACAGCCAAGCTATACTTCAGTTTTGACTCCATCTAGTGATATTAACAGTGGCTAATATTTGTTGAGTACTTACTATGAGTCAGGCACTGTGCTAAGTGTTCATGCCTCATCTCATTTAACCAATATTAACTGGTCAGTTCCAGCAGAGGTGGAACACATAACCTACTAATAACTGGGAGATTGATGGTCAGCTCTGCTAATGTACATAAATGTTTCAGTTTCCAACCCATCTGTACAAGACTAGGAAGAGAGGAGCTTCCAGCTTGTCAGAGATGTCTTCTCAGGGGTAACTTTCATTGCAACTTCTCCAGCTCACATAGATTCACACTTTGTAACCTGCTTGCCTGCAAATGGGGATTTGAAGAAAGTTTTTCCATTTCAGGGAGACTGTAAGTTGAAGTAAGCCACTGTTATTAATCACAAGAAAAGGTGAAATTTAACTCTCCTGTTTCCTGAGTGTTCATAAACTGCTGACAGCTTATTATTTTAAAGGAAGTAAACTGAGCTCTCCCAGGCTCACAGGGGAGGAGGCAAGTTTACTCTCATCTCTGAAGCCTTTCTCCTCACCTGGCACAAGACTGGGACGGGGTTTTGGCAAAGCCTCTGAAGGTAGCCAGCCCCCCAGGAGCGGTTCTGTCGGGGGAAGGGAGCCTCCAGGCTAAAGTAGCTCCGACCCACCCTTGAACTTCAAAGGGAGTAGCCAGACCCTCCCAGAAAGGGCGAGGCTACTGGGTACTCTTGGGAGACGCTCGAAATCTTCCGGGCCAGAGCTGGAGGAAGTGAGCTGGGAGACCCAGTGGGGAGAGGGGAGGGAAACTGAGCCAAGGGGGGACAGGGGCCAGCTTCGGAGGAGCCAGAACCTTCTAAAGAAGCCAGCCCGGAGAATTCTGGGCCGCAGGGAAGTGGAGAGCGGCTGAGTTCTCTTTTATAAAAAGGCAAGTGAGAGAAAAGAAAACAAAAAATCCCGTCTGAGCATGACTTTTGGCAATGGTGCTTTCGCCAGCGCCTCTGCAGCGGCTCCCGGAGAAAGCCCGCCAGACAGGGACAGACAGATGGACCTTGGGAGCGAAAGACCGGCCAGGAGCGGCCCAGGTCGCAGCGCCGTTTGGAATGCCCCAGGGGGTGGGGGAGGCTGCATGGACTCCTCAAAAATTGGTTTGGAGACAACTGGCCATCCATATGGAGCAGATAAAGTAGATCCCTATCTCACAGCAGGCCTCCAAATAAATTCCAGATGAACTAAAGACCTACAGGGAACAAGCGAAACTATTATAGAGCTTTTGGAAGAAACAGAAGGATGGCTGCACGGCCCTGAGATGGGGACGTTTATACTCTAAGGGTATAAAACGTGCAAAACATAAAGGAAAAGATGGGTAACTTAACCTTAAAATTAAAATCTTCTCCAGTACAAAAGATAAGGAGTAAAGACAAGCTATGGACTGAGAGGATATGTGCATACAACGAATAATAAATTTCTATAATACCTTACAGCTCTAAGAGAAACTACCCAATAGAAAAATGGGCAAAGGCTATGAACAAGCAATTACCAGAGGAAGAATCCCCAAAAGGACAGTAACAAGAAAAGTGAACTAACTTCACTTGTGATCACAACTGGATAGTCCAACCATGAAGTTTCTCTCAGCATCCAGGCCTTGACAAAATTTGACATCCGGTAACCCCAGTGTAGATGCAGATGTAGAGAAATGAGGCTGCTATAGCTGATAAGAGTGTAAATTGGTACACCTAGGAGAAGATATGCAAAATCTGGTAAAGCTGAAACTGCATATGCCCGAGACAGAGACAGCTCCTTCATGTTCACAAGAGGACAACTCCGAAGTAGTGAGGAACAGCTGGGAACAATATAACTGCACCTGTCCAGAAATAAACTGATTGTATTCATCCAGGGAAATACCATAAAGCAGTTAAAAAAGAATGGTATAAATCTGCATGTATCAACATGGTTCATTCACAAAAACATAATGTAGGGTGTAAAAAACAGGTTGCAAAAGGATATTACATTCTGAAACCATTTATATAAAATTTTAAAACAAAAAAATGGTAAAGATACAAAATCATGTTTGTTTGTTTAAATTTTTCCATAATTTACAGTAAAACAGAAATCACAATAAGCTATCACTTCATATCCACTAGAATGGCTATTATCAAAAAAAAACAAAAGTACCAAGTGTGTGTGTGGGGGGGATGAAATATGAACTGTCAAAAGAAAGAAGCCAGGGGAAGAAGCCAGACACAAAAGGACAAATACTTTATGGTTCCACTTGTATGAGAAACCTAGAACAGTCAGATTCATAGAGACAGAAAGTAGAATGCTGATTGTCAGGGGCTGGCGGGAGGAGAGAATGGGAAGTTACTGTTTAATGGGTATAGAGTTTCAATTTGGGAAGATGAAAAAGTTCTGCAGATGGGTAATGGTGATGGTTTCAGAACAATGTGAATGTACTTAATGCCCCAGAACTGTGTGCGATACTCGTAAACGGTTAAAATGATAAATTATATATGTATTGTAACACAAGAAAAATAATAGAAATTTAAGAGAAGTTGGCTTGAATTCATCCCCTGGACCTAGCAGAGCCGGCAGAGTCGCTCACCTACCTATATAAGTAGGTGACTGCATACACCTGGACCATCACGTCGACCCGGCCGCCCCTTCTCTTCTTTCCCTCACACCCGGGTTGCGACCCTGCTGACCCACTTAAATCTGACCGCGCAGGCGCGGAGCGGTGGGCAGGAGAGGGCGTGGCCTCACGAGGCGCTTGTGCTGAATTCCAGCTGCGACTGCTTAGGGATACAATGATGCCCAGGTTGGGCTCCGCGGCCCTGCGGCCGCGGAGGAGCTGCCCGAACTGCACACGCGCAGACCCAGCGCCCGCGTCAAGAGACGGAGAGCGCGCGCTCCCCACGTACTGCGCGCCCGGCTGCCAGGCGTTCGTCTCGCCGGTGGCTCCCGCCAGGCTGGGCAGGCGCGCCCACGTCTGAAGAGCGATGCCCCGGGAGATCATCACCCTGCAGCTGGGCCAGTGCGGCAACCAGAGTGAGCAAGCGAGCGCCGGGCCCCGCCAGTCTCTGGTTCTGCCCCTTCGGGTCCCACCCAAGTTCCAGTCCCTTTTCCCTTCCATGAACCTCCTGCCCTACTGCGCATGATGACTCAAACCAAGAGCTGCGCTTCCAGCCCTGGGCTGTGACAGCTCCGAGACCCAGGCGTCTTAGGTCCACCCTCTCTGGTTGTGACAGCCTCTGAGCCTAAAACTGGGCTCCTCAGGCCTTAGGGCTCTAGCAGACCCCGGCATTTTCCTCCTCCCCCAGTTGGGTTCGAGTTCTGGAAACAACTGTGCGCCGAGCATGGTATCAGCCCCGAGGGCATCGTGGAGGAGTTCGCCACCGAGGGCACTGACCGCAAGGACGTCTTTTTCTACCAGGTGCCCCCAGCAACTTGGCCAGGGCAGCCAGGGGCCTGAAGGGAAGGGAGTGGCCTGGTACTGGGAAACCCGCTGGGCAGAAGGACCAGGCAGCTGGCTTGAGGAGGGAGGGTCAGGAGGAACCAGAGTTGGGAGGGCTTAGGACAGGACCTGCCTAGCTGATTGGGCCCCCTCCTGTACTTCCCTTGACAGGCAGACGATGAGCACTACATCCCCCGGGCTGTGCTGCTGGACCTGGAGCCCCGGGTGATTCACTCCATCCTCAACTCCCCCTATGCCAAGCTCTACAACCCAGAGAACATCTACCTGTCAGAGCATGGAGGAGGAGCTGGCAACAACTGGGCCAGCGGCTTCTCCCAGGTGTCCAGGGGACCATTCCAGAAACCCTTAATGTTCTCACCCTGGGGCAGGGCAGGCTCAAGCAACCTAGGAATTTGAACAGGCCAGACTGGCAATAAATAAGAGACAAAGGGATACAGTAAAGAGAGGGAAAGCCAGGGAGAGGTTTATGCATATTTGTGCAAATTGTTTGCAAACGTAGCATTTATGGGTTGAGGGTTACAGCCATGGCTCTGCTTCAGGGTGGCAATAAAGATGCTCTCTGGAACTTTTGGACCAATCTTCCCTTTCCACGTTTCTGTATAGGGTGAGAAAATCCATGAAGACATCTTTGACATCATAGACAGAGAAGCAGATGGCAGTGACAGTCTAGAGGTGAGGTTCTGCTGGGGGAGGGCAGTGAGTGGAGGAAGGCTGAAGAGTCTTGGGGAAAGGTCGGGGTGGCCTATGATGTGACGGAGACAATTCAATTCAAACCTCATTAATTGAGCATCAGATGTGGGATATTGAGGGAAATAAGACACAGTCCTTGTTTGCAAGGGGAAGTGGTAATCTGGATGGCATCAGCTCCTTAGGAATGAGTCATTCAGCTGCTTCTCTGGCTCTGAATCTTCCTAGGAAGCCTCAGCCTGGATAGATAAGAAGCAGCCTTGAGACACTAGTGTGTTGGGAGTGGGGAATGATACAAGCAAAGCTTCTCCCCCAACCCCCAGAGATTGCCTCTCCATCTCTCCCCATGCTGTGTTGATATTGTGATACATATATTTTTGTTTTCTTCCACAGTTCTAGGCTTACAGCTCCTATAACCCTTCTAATTTCCTAAGTGACTAAAGCAATAAGAGTATCTTTTGTTAAAATATTTGACCTTTTATCCTTGGTTTCTGGAACAGCTCCAAAGAGATAAACAGTCTTTTGTTATTTATACCAAGCCCCTTTCAACCAAACCTGAGCTTATGTTAATCAGGTGATTTTTGGAAAGTTCCTAGATGGGGGCTGGTTGCCAGGGAAACCAAATCGATGCTTTTAGGGTTGGAGTTTACAGCCCCACCCTCACCCCCCATACACACACTTCTAAAGAGAGGTAAGGGGCTGAAGATTGTGGCCTGGTACCTGTGGCCATGGTACCAGCCTGAGCAAGATCAAGACCCAGTCTCTACAAAAAATTTTAAAAATTAAAGGCATGAGGATCACTTGAACCCAGGAGTTGGAGACTACAGTGAGCTATGATGATGCCACTGTACTCTAGCCAGGGCAACAGAGCCAGACCCTATAAAAAAAAAAAAAGATTGAGTTTATGACCAATGTACAATGATTTAATCAATTGTGCCTGTGTAATGAAGCCTCCATAAAAATTCCAAAGGACTGAGTCCAGGGTCTTCCACGAAGATGAAAAGAACACGTTCACTTGCTGGCAGGGTGGTATACCCCAACTCTAAGGGACAGAAGGGCCTGATCTGGGGACCCTTCCAGACCAGGGACTTTCTCTTCATCTGGCTGTTTGTTTATAATATATCCTTTATATTAAAATAAACCAGTAACTGTGTTTCTCTGAGTTTTGTGAGCTGCTCTAGCAAATTAATTGAACCCAAGGAGGGGGTCCTGAGAACCCAAATTTATAACCTGTTGGTCCGAGACACAGGTAAAACAATCTGGAGCTGGTGATTGGCATTGGAAGTGGGGAGCAGTCTTGTAGGACTGAGCCCTCAACCTGTGGGTTCTGATGCTATCTCCAGGTACAGATGAATGCTCAGTTTATGATGGGTTGATCAGAATATATTGTAAGTTGAAATGCATTGGGTTATATCCAATATATCCACCAGAAAGTCAAAAAATCATTAAGTCCAACCATCTACAGAGTCAGGCATAGTCTGTAGATAGTGCAGACCTGAACTGAATTAGTGGGCACCAGCTGGTGCCTACTGCAGAATTGATTGCTTACTTGATGTGTGAGGTATAACCACCACACATCTGGTATCAGAAGCGTGTTGTGAGAGTACAGTGGGGGAAACTGAGTTTGTTATTCCTATGCAGGGTTTCGTGCTGTGTCACTCCATTGCTGGGGGGACGGGTTCTGGCCTGGGCTCCTACCTCCTAGAGCGACTGAATGACAGGTAAGCCTGTTTTGGGGGAGTGGGCATTAACCCTGATTCCCTAGGTAATGGCTTTCCTTTTTGTCACTTTTTTCTCTTGAGCTGGGAAGTGTGCCACTATCCCTTTTGAGTCATAGGGTTTACCTAGAGAGCGGAGGGTATCTACAGAGTTTGCTGCTTGAACCTTATCCTTTTTGGCTCTGAAGACTCAGTTCTGTCCTCACTTCTTTTGTGTAAGAGTTTGGTGGCCCTTGGAAAGGGTTGGTCCTTGTTGTCTTTAGAGAAGACAGAGATAGGCAGTAATGGGGGTCCTTCCAATTGTGCCAACCTCCCCTTTTCTCTCTTCCTCACCATCAGGTACCCAAAGAAGCTGGTGCAGACATACTCAGTGTTTCCCTACCAGGACGAGATGAGCGACGTAGTGGTCCAGCCCTACAACTCTCTCCTCACACTCAAGAGGCTGACCCAGAATGCAGACTGTGTGGTGAGCAAAGGAAGGAGGGAGTTGGGGGCTTTGGTCTGTCTCCCCAAGCCAGTGAGTCACACACAGCCTGCCTTCCCAAGCCCCTGCACACACAGAGAACAGAGGACCAAAAAAGCCATACCTGTCAGCCAAATTAAGAAATAAGTTCCTGACCTCCAAGTTGCTCACAGTCCTTTTAGGTAGCAAGACTTTCAACAAAGTGAATATACCCACCACCACCACCACCCCTATGTACCCCCACATTGCCTACCTAATGCCTACTAATGCTTGAATTCTTAGTTCAAGGGCCACTTTCTTGGCAAACCTTCCCTGACTACTCAGTCATGGTCAGAATCCTCTGTGCATATTTCAGATAGTTAACTGTAGTTTTCTGTTGTTTTGTATTTAATGTCTGTCTCCCTCCACTAGACTGTAGGCCTAATGAGGGGAAAGACTACACCTTTCCCTCCTTGTGGTCTCTGCAGAGCCAGGCACAGTGTGTAGCACGTGGGACTACTTACATATTTCCTTACTGCCCTGCATAGTCCAAAAGTGTCTCATGATGGCCCAGAAATGGTGCTTTCCTTTTATTATCTCTTAAATTTTTTTTGTACTTTCCTTTTAAATTAACAAACTGACTTCCTGGTTTTAGAGTTCAACAGAGACTCAACCAATATCTCATTTCTATGCTTCCTTTCTCCGCAAGAAGGTGCTATGACTCTTTTCTGCCCTCCCAGGTGGTGCTGGACAACACGGCCCTGAACCGGATCGCCACAGACCGCCTACACATCCAGAACCCGTCCTTCTCCCAGATCAACCAGCTGGTGAACCCTCACCCCTGGGCTCCTTTGGACTGGAAGGAAGCCCTCCTTGCTGGAGGACCATCTGGGGGAGGGAGGTCCCACCCAGGCCGAGGCCCATTTCATGGCACCCCCGTCCCCAGGTGTCCACCATCATGTCGGCCAGCACCACCACCCTGCGCTACCCCGGCTACATGAACAACGACCTCATCGGCCTCATCGCCTCGCTCATTCCCACCCCACGGCTCCACTTCCTCATGACCGGCTATACCCCCCTCACCACGGACCAGTCAGTAAGAGCAGCCCTCAGGGTCCTAGGCCAGGCTGGCCCTGGGCCCAGCAGGCCCTGACCCAGCCTTTCTCTGCTCCCTGCTGCCCCAGGAGCTGCCCCTTGTGGCCCCCAGAGGCTCAGGCACTGGCACAGAGCAGGCCAGGCCACTTCCTTGCTGACTTGCCGTCCATCTTCCCTCTGCCTTTGGCTCTTGCCACGGAGACCATTCTACCCCGGGTCTGATGGGGATGAGTTGACTTCTCTGTCCATGTACCTCTGGACTGTGTCCTGAGTGCTGGCCCGGTCCCCGTGACCCACCCTCCCATCAGGTGGCCAGCGTGAGGAAGACCACAGTCCTGGATGTGATGAGGCGGCTGCTGCAGCCCAAGAACGTGATGGTGTCCACAGGCCGGGACCGCCAGACCAACCACTGCTACATCGCCATCCTCAACATCATCCAGGGAGAGGTGGACCCCACCCAGGTAGGCGAGGCCCCTTTGTTCTACTCCCAGCACCCACAGGGGTAGAGGACAGGCTACCTCCACTGCCCCTGTGCCCACCCCAGGTCCACAAGAGCCTGCAGAGGATCCGGGAACGGAAGTTGGCCAACTTCATCCCCTGGGGTCCAGCCAGCATCCAGGTGGCCCTGTCGAGGAAGTCTCCCTACCTGCCCTCAGCCCACCGGGTTAGTGGGCTCATGATGGCCAACCACACTAGCATCTCCTCGGTGAGTCTAGTCACCTGGTCTTTTTGGCCACTCTGTTGGACTAGCCACCTTCATCTTTTTCCCCTAGTCCATTCCTAACTCCTGTCCTACACTGGCTCCCATTTTGGAGATTTTCATCTCTTTCAGCTCTTCGAAAGTTCCTGCCAGCAGTTCGACAAGCTTCGGAAGCGGGATGCCTTCCTGGAGCAGTTCCGCAAGGAGGACATGTTCAAGGACAACTTTGATGAGATGGACAGGTCCAGGGAGGTTGTTCAGGAGCTCATCGATGAGTACCATGCTGCCACTCAGCCGGACTACATCTCCTGGGGCACCCAGGAGCAGTGATTTCCTCTCCACAACTCCCCCTGGACAAGAGGCACAGCTTATACCATGCCTGGCCCCTCTGACCCAACTTATTGACAACATCTCTTGGTTCATCTCCAGCCCATGAGCTGGTCCTGCATCCTCCCTTCTATGCCCTCACTGTTAATATGCTTGTAATAAAGTAATAAAGCTTGATTGTCAGTATAGTCAGGGCTTGATCTGTGAATGTGTGGGAAGGTGAAGACATCTCCATGTTCTAGGAATGTGACAGTAGGGTGGCCTACACCTCCTCTAACTTCTTACCACTTAGTCCAGGTCTTAGTGTGTCCACTGTTTCCATTGGCATCCCTCACCTCAAACCAGGCTGTTTTGTTGGAGTCAGCCCTTCTCTCGAGATTACAGAAGTTTCCTGAGGTCTGCTGTCTCCCCAGTGCCTAAGCTCCAGCCCCAGTGTGGGCCAATGTTACCCCAGCCTCCTCCATTCAGGGCAGAGGAGGTAGAGTGTGCCAAAGTAGGGCCACCACATTCTGAGCAGGTCAGGAAAGCTGGGACTCTGGATTCCCAGTGCCCAGAGCCATCAGAGTCCCAGGGACTCAACCCAATTCAACCCAACCTGATATGTAGGAACAGAATTCAGGAGTAGGACTGAATCCATCCTGAGTTCTTTGTCTGTGCCATAGAAATTCTTGGGTCTGTTATCTGCCCCAAGCTTCTCTCCGTTCTAGGCCCAAAGCAGAAGGCTTACCAATGATGGACCCTACCAGGGCCCAGGGTGGACATCAGGGTAAAAACTGGGCAGTGCCAGTCCTGATGACTCACTGCCCTCCAGCCTCAGGGATGCCAGCAGGCTGCCCCTACGCCACTCAGTGGAGGAGGGAGGGTGAGTAATTGTCAGCTTCCAAGACTGCCTTCTTGCCAGCTCCACCCACAACCCTGTGGCAGCATACTGGCCAGGAGGAGGTTAAATCCAGAAAGTCAAGGAGGGTGGAGCTCTGTGGTATCCAGACTCCCCTCCAAGGCTGGTAAGAGCCCAGAGTGTGGGCGTCCCCAGGGGCGGAGCTCGGAACCATGGGGCTCCAACTTGTCCCACTGACAACACTCACACAGGAAGGGTTTGTGTAAATAAGGATTTTTTTGGTTCTCTTCTACAAATAAATTAAGAAACAAACTAGAAAATTGTCCACACCCGTTGCAGCCCTTGGGTGTGGGGTGTGCCCTGTCCCTGCAGGGCCAAAAGGGTCCATGTTTTCCTCAAATCTCAGAGCAGTCCTGGCCCAGGCTGGAGGCAGGAGGGAAGTCGTGACCTCTTGGCAGGCTCAGTCCTGCAGCTGCCCCAAGCAGCCAGACTGTCCCTGGGGCTCATCCAGGCCCGGGTGCTGGCTAGGAGGGGAGGTGTCTGGCAGGTCTTGGCATGGAGGAGAAGGGCTGCTGCAGGACCTCTCGAGGGAGGGGTTGGCCAAGTAGGCATTCACCAGCTGCATGATCTCTTCCACCTAACAGAGGGCAGAGGTCAGTGTGCAACATGGGCCATTGGGTTCTCTTTTTCTCATCCTCCATTCAGGCTCTGGGGCTCCAACTTCCCCACCAGGGTCCTCTGTGCTCTCGCCCCTGCAACCTTTCCTTCCTCATCACCACTCTCCATCACTCCCTATGTGCCAGTCATACTTGCTCCTTTCTGCTCTTCTAACATGTCAAGTTCACTCTCATCTCAGGGTCTTTGCCTTGCAAATCCCTCTACCTGGAATGCTGTTCTCCCAGATGTTCCTATAGCTACTTTAAATTTCACCCTTTTTGAGACTCCTTCCCTGACTACCTAATGCTGTGGCCCCTCCAGTCACTTCCTGTCACTTTCCTTTGTAGCCTTTGATTCCTTGATTATTGTCTGACTCCCGCACTCTAATGTAAGCTCCTTGAGCTTGTCTTTGATCACTGCTGGATTCCCAGTACCTGGCCTATGCTTGGTGTGCAACAAATGTTCCATGTCATCCCTTCCCTCCTCCCTCCACAGCCCCTCTTCCCACTCACCTGGGGACTCTGCAGGAGGAGCTGGCTCTCTCCCACCCTCAGTGCCAGGGTGTGGGGGCCCATTAGCTGGCAGGCGGCCACATGGCCATAGCTGACACTGTGGATGGGCTCTGTCTCACCTGGCCGGGAGAGGGACATGGCCTTGGCTCCCAGGCCCAGGCATAGCTTCTGAGGAGTACCCCCGCCAGGCTCCTGCAGAGAGATGGGCAGAGTCAGGGTGGAAGGAGGAGACCCTGCAGCATGATTTTTGGTAGGGGGAGATGGCTGTGAGCAGGGAGTTTCCTGACCCCCCACTATGAGTCACAGCACTGTGGAGGTGGCTATGGCTCCAGGGATGCGAGGGACTCCAAGGACTGGTGACTCCTGGGGTTTGAGACAGGAGGCTGTTCTGGATGTAGGGAATGAAGTGACTCACAGTGGGGGCCTGTGGCTCTGGGGCAAAGGTTTGGGGCTTGGGCCACCAGAGTCCCCTTCTCCCTTCTCCCCCTCACCGTGCTCAGCTCCAGAACGTCATACCGAGCAGCGCCGAACCCCGGACACTGCGCTGCCAGGGCCAGGTAGGCAGCCATGGCCTCAGCTCGGCCCATGCCCCGTAGCCGTTTCCAGCCGCCTAGCACAGCAGCCGCCGTACCGGCGCCGCCTCCTCCCTCGCGAGCCGTGCTTCCCGCCGTGCGGCCGGCCCCGCCGCGCGGGGCCGGCTCCGCCCGCCTCTTGGCCAGGCCCGGGCTCCAGAGTGCCCCGGCCAGCAGGGCGGCGGAGCGGGGCGGCCTGGGGGCCGGGCGGGTAGGGTCTTCACGGGGTGGGGTGGGGGGCGGCAGCAAGCGGTCCAGGCGGGGCAGGGGCACCCGGGGGGAGAAGTCGCGGTGCAGGCTCTGCAGGCGCAGCGCCGCCAGGGCGCGCAGCGTGTCGTCGGGCGGGGGCGGCCGGCCCCGCAGCAGCAGAGCGTGAGCCTACAGGGGAGGCACCCGTGTCAGTGCGCGAGCCGCGGCGGTGCAGTCGCGAAAACACCTCGGGGTATGGAACGTGAGGAGGTCTCTAGATTCGAGTATAGCCTCCGTTGGGGTTACCTAATGATTAAATGAGATCACCCAAGGAAGGAAGGGTTCAGACTTGGGGGGGGGTCTGTTTGGAGGGGTGAACACCTGAGGTCCTCACCTGCTCAAAGAGGAAAGGCAGTTCGTGACCGTCTGGGGACAGCCCCTCAGGGTGCAGAGGTCCGTGAAGACGCAGACACAGTCTCCACCCAGAGTCCGGGGAGTCCTCCAGCCCGGCTTCCTCCCCAGCCGAACTGCAGAAGAGAAAAGGGCGCGTCGCGAAGGAGAAACAGGGCCACCTGGGCGCCTGCAGTTTGGAATGGGGGCGGGGCCCTGTGTTTGGGGCGGGGCCCGGGCGGAGTGGACCGCGGAGGTGACCCCAGAATGCAGACAGCAAACCGCCGGCGGGCAGGGATCCAAGTGTAAACCAGAGAACATCACTACACACGCCAAGTGGCTAGCGCTCGGTAAATGTTTCTTAGTGATTGACCGAAGCTGAGAAGTAGGTGAGTTAATACAGAGCAGGGATGGGGATGGACATTTACTTCTCAAACCTGGTGAGCACGTCAGCCACGAGGGTACCCCCAGCCAAGGCTCGCTCCTGGGCCCCTCGCTGCTCGTACAGTGCGAAAGCATTGCGGCTCCGGGCCAAGCCCAGCCGTCCCACCAGCTCTCGAGCCACCTAGAAGGGGGAAAGAGGGAGAGGGGAAAGTCAGACCACCCCGGGGTATTGGCAGGATTCTAGGAGGGGCTGATCCACCGGGAAGGGGTCTCAGTCCTGTCACCACCACTCCCTCCTTTGCCGAAATAATGTGAGACGCCGGGCAAACCTAGAGCTCAGGAAAAGCCAAGCATGAGAAGCTGGGAGCGAGGGCTTGGGCATCCCGGGGGCCTTTCTGTGGCCTCACCTCCCCGGCTGTGGTGTGGGAGTCGATGGCCACGGGGCAGGCACCAGCCCCCGGACAGTGCACGGTGCACAACAGCTCCTGTCGTCGGCTCAGTGCGGAAATCTCTGCCAGCGATGGCACCAGCTCTCGGCCGCGCGTCCGGCCCAGAGCTTTCCGGATGAAGCGCGCATATTCCGCCAGTTCTGAGTCCGGGAGTGCCTGCTCCGTCCTAGGTTAGGAGGAACCCTGGGATCTCAGTGCTCCAGGGGCTTTCCTTCTCTCCCTCCCTCTCGCCTTCTATTACGGTTTACCTCCTGGATTTCCTCTCCAGCTCCCAACTCAAGTTCCTTGACGGCTCTTCTAAATCGTTCCCCTGTACTTAGTATGGAGCTGAATTACTTTTTAAGTCCCCTGGAAGTTCTCTCCCAACTGCCCCAGTCCCCTTCCAAAAGCCTCCAAGATCGTCCTTTAGGCTAAAGTGCGAAATACAGCCACTCCTACATCAGCCTGGGCAAAAGTAGCCTTCTAATTATTCCTCTGCCCGAAGTGGAGATTATTGTAATTTATTTGCTTTTACAAGTGGGATATGATCTTGTATGTCCCACAAAGGCACTGTATATAGTACCAGCAGCCCTGACCTTGGCCAAGTACCTTCCCTTCTCTGGATCTGGCTTCCTCACCTACCAAAATTTTCGCAAAGGCGTGTCCCTCCTTTGCAGCCCTATAGCTCCCTTGCCTTGGCCTTACCCCGCCCCTCCCCTCTCACCTCTCCAAATGCCCCAGGAGATGCCCCCGTACAGCTCTCCCAGGCCGGAAAGTGCAGCTCATGCAGGTGAGGAGCTGCCAGTACCGCAGGGCGGCAGGGTCTTGGGTAGCTGGGAGCCCAGGGGGACCCGCCGGGCCCGAGGTCTGCTTAGCCAGCTGCAGGAAGAGTTCGTCGCGGAGTGCAGGCAGGTCCCGGCAGGTTTGGAGCACACCCTGCATCAAGGGCCCCGGGCGCCGCGCCCCCTCCAGCGCCTGCAGTGCCAGGAACAGCCGCACCGCCTCCTCACGCAAGGGTGCATAGCCTGGACCTGTGGGAGGGTAGGGGTGGAGGGATGGTTTGGAGAGGGGACACAGAGCTGCGCCCTGGGAGGAAGGCATGAACCAGGGGAAGGTCAGAGAGAGTATAAGGGGACAGAGGGTGGCAAGGAGGGGAGGTACGAATGATAGGAAGAGTGAAGGGAAAGCAATGGTCCCACAGAGCCAAACTTTACAAGT